AGGCATAGAAATATAAAGAATCCCTGAAGGACGCCGCTGAAGGAAGATGACAAGGATTTGGGTTTGTCAGGAAAAAATGGCTGCCGTCTTTCCGCTGCTTGTAAAGTCTGTTAATTTATGTCCCTCTCTTTATCTTTATCCTTTAAAGTCTTAGGGTTTATATACTTATCATGGTTTATGGTCACGAGTGTTGACCGAAAGTGAGAGATCTCATGTACAAGCAGCAAAAATGAGGTTTCTTCGAAGAATATCCGGCAGGAAGAAAATTGACAAAGTTCGCAACATTTCAGTTCACAATACCCTCATTTGTGAAGTTTTCTTTTTGAGAACTTGCACTGACACAAGACGTCGAAATATTTCCTTGAGGTAGACCTAGTCGTAAAGTGGAATACGATCTGGGCCGCAGCAATGAACTGCAGTAATATCAGTTTGAAGTACCATTCCTAACGGTCAGATATTATAAATCTGGGATACACTGCTGCTTCAGCCCCATTAGCCTTACATGACAATGGCAAAACAACAACAATTATGAACTGCTTTTTTCCAGGCCAAACACACCCATGATGGTTTGGACATGTGATTAAAGTCTGCCGGGGTTCGTCGATTTTGAGGACGCTTTCGATTCAATATTACCGGTTTTGTTGTGGATTCCTTTAGGAGCAAGTGAACAGCGAAAAGATACATAAGTTTAATCGACATGATTTTAAAAAATGCATGAGTTAATGTGAAGCTTTACGAAATCACAAGCAAGTTCAGAATCGAAGAAGGCGTTGAAAGGAAGTCGCAGTATCAAAGAAGCACAGTAATCTTAAAAGAAGTTTTCAAATGACTCCGTTAGAAAAACCAGTAGTTGAACATCAATTTGTCCTACTCAAGCCTCCTGCAGGTTGCGGACCACATTCTAATTTTCTCAAGGTCAGCAGAAGGACTCAAAAGAAAAATCTAAAAACTGACGATGATACGTGAAAGTAAGGCTGCAAATGGACCTGGAGAAGACTCAGATCATATTTAATAAATACGTAACTTGCCGAAATCAACAACTCAGGCTTAACAAAGTGCAGCACAATCTCTCTGAGGCAGCTGATCTCTGAAACGAGGGCCAACT